ACTTCTGGCAGATTGTATTACGAGCTCTGAGTGCTTGAAACGAAAATCTTTCTACACTTCGCTCAGTTCAGGAGTAGAAGTGAGATACGCTTTCACAGAGGGTAATACGCTTTCAGAGGGTACATGAAACTGGCAATTACCTAAAAAATCTTATTAACTATTTTTCATTGTAATATTCTAAGGTTGTTTCTCACCTAAAAGCTCTAATAGTAGACATACATAAACTTTGATTTCCCAAGTAGGCAGCTTAAAAAGCAACTTTACAGGTTTCTAACTGGATCCAGTAATGACAAGCCTTTTGGACAATTTAAAATAGAATAAAGCTGTAGAAAGCCGACGAGCTTTCCCAACTATCGGATACAGTTTTTGCTGGGATTTTTCAGCGGTGAACTTTGAAAGCCCAGTTGAGCTTTCAGAGGCTATCATCAAGTGTTACGCTTCGTAGTACAATGGGTTCAGTTTCAGTAAGTCCGTCATAAGCGAAAGCTCATAGTCTAAGCTTAATTTTAAAAATGTATAGCGCATAGTATCGGTGACGATCATTTTAACATTTATAATTCATACACTTTCTATTGTAGAAAGTTGATCTTATGTTGTAGGTGTGCGCAGTTTAAACTAAGTTTGGTATCATCAAGGGAAGCTTTCATTTGTTAACTAAAAAGCACTCTACTATAATTATTATCATAATAATAACAATGGTTGCATAAAGCTAAAATAATTATCCCGGATTTGTTTAACCTCTATTATCCGTCATTTTATGGACAACAAGGCCGCTTAAGTTAAGCCGATTTGGACAAAATGTGTCCATAACTAAGCCGCGGTTTGGGCTTTAAATCAATTGATTGCACCAATTTGTTGTTGTTTTTTTTATCAAATACACGTGAAAATGCTTTTCTATTTATAATTGTAAAGTTCGAATATTTTCCATGCTGGCTTGAAAGAGAAAATCATGTTTGTCAGTTAAGTCTCAATCTGGAGTCTCCTTAAAGTAGATAGGGACATGGCCTGGAGCAAATTACCTCGTAAGATACGATTCCAGATTTTAGGTACACCACTATTAATAGATTAATTAACGGGTTGGTTGGACAATGAGAAAGTTCTTACAACTCTACACAACAAACAGAATATGAAAAGACTAGGTAATATTATAAGCTTTTTCTTGAACAATCGTCACCACCTGTAATACGAGGGCGGCACTGAAAATTTCGGGAATCAAGGAAGTGAAACAACATTACTATTTAAAAATGTATTTATTGCTTTTTAAAGTATTCTCCGCGAAATTTGACACATTTTTCCATACACGAAACCAATCATTGAAGCAACCATTGCATTCGGAAGTTTGGGTCTCCAAAATGGCCGTTTTGTAGGCTTCCACAGCTTCTTCAGGTGATGAAAATCTCTGACCACGCAATTTATTCTTTATTTAAGGGAAAGTATAGAAATCATTAGGGCTTAGGTCGAGGCTGTACGGCGGATGGACTAATAATTCTATGTTTTCTTGCTCTAAAAACTCCTTTGTTCAGTGCGCGGTGTGAGAACTCGCATTGTCGTGATGGAGGATGATGCGGCGGTTGCAGTTCTCTTTACGGAGTTCAGAAACGACCTGTGGCAAACAAATGCTAGCATACTAATCTGCATTAACCGTTCTTTGTCCCCCAAGAGGAATAGTCGCAACATGGCCGGTTTTGGAGACAAACGTGGCCACCATTTTTTTTGCAACACTCCGTGAACGAACAATTTTTGTTGGCTTTAATTCATTTTCGAACACCCAAACTCGTGACTGGTTTTTTGTTTCGGGTTCGTACGCGTATATCCATGATTCGTCACCTGATACGATGTTGTATACAGCATTTGAGGATCCTGCATGTAATCTCCCGAGAGTTCTGACGCACCAAGTAACGCGAGCTGCTTTTTGCTCTTCACAGAGCGAATGCGGTATCCATCGGGAAAACAACTTTTTTACACCTAATTGTTCATGCAAGATTATTTGTATTTGACTCATGCCAATGTCTAAAGTTGCCTGAATTTCGCGGTATATCACATGTCGATCTTCTTCAATCAGCTTACGCACAGCATCAACGTTTTCTTAGGTGACTGCAGTTTTTGGACGACCTTGACGGGGATCATCACTGAGCTTGACACGTCCACGTTGAAATTCAGGAAACTAGCGATAAATTGTGGTTTTGGATGGGGCTTCATTACCAAATGCAGAAATCATCCGGTCAACACACTGTTTTTGTGTTAAACCACTTCAAAAGTCATAATAAATCATCGCTCTTGAATTTTCTCGAGTCAATTCCATTTTCTCAACGACTAAACAAGTTTGACAAGACCTTGTGATACGACCGAGAATCTTTTTTTAAATAAATAAATGGTATACGATTTTTAAAACCCTGGACTTTGCAATTAAATAGATTTTAATATGACTGGAACAGTGGAAATATTCCATTCCCGATACTTTTAGTGCAGCCCTCGTAACGTCACTTGTTCAACCAGTCCCGTAATCATGTGGTTTTCTGAGCCTTCTGTATTTATTTCAGTTGTATTTGTATTGCTGAATGAAACTAAGCCAGAGAAATTCAGGAAGCCTTTTATCTATGACGAGCAGGAATGTGGCATGCGTGAAAATAGACGGAGGTTCGTGTTGGAAAAAATTGAGGCCTTTTCGCAAACTTAGTTTGATAGTTTTTATGAAAGATTTTTGGTTGGAAACATATGAATGAAATCTCAGAAATTCCATAGATTCAGGAGAAAATTCCTGAGATTTATTAATAAGATTAGTGTAATAAGAAAATCATTATGTACGTATTGTACGTGTTTCTGGTTTGTACGCTTAAACGTACGTACTCGTCTACAGCGACTAATACTAAAATACCGAAAGTTCCTAACATACCGAAAGTTGTTTCTTTCTTGTGAAAATATACAAAATGTCAAGTCATAAAAATTATTTAATTTCAACAAATAGGCTTTTAGTAAGCGCTTTTACACGTCTCAGTAACTTTAACCCTACGACTGCTTCGGGACAATACATGGACCAGTGCTGAGAAGAAACTTAGTCACCTTTGTCAGCCTCTTAATAAGACTTAAAGAAAAGATCCTACGAATATTACAAATGCGAAAAATTTGATTTCTGGATGTTAGTTAGGTACTCTTTCAAGCAAAAACTTTTGAACAGATTTTGATGAAACTTTACAGTATTATTGTTTATAACCCAGAATAACATGCTATAATTTATAACGATCTGTGACAAATTAAATTTCACGCGGGTGAATCCGCGGGCAAAAGCTAGTAGGTAATAAATGATACTTACGCGAGCTTGCGATAGGATGCAATGCATCGCCTGGGTGACATCGGCGGCATGTATTGCGTTGTGATAGGGGTTCGTTGAGTGGTAGCCTTCCTCGATGAGGATGAATAGTTTCCAGGCCTTGACGACATCCACATAAAGTTACACATAAAGAATATAATATGATACTCACGCGAGCTTGCGATAGGAAGCAATGCATCGCCTGGGTGACATCGGCGGCATGTATTGCGTTGTGATAGGGGTTCGTTGAGTGGTAGCCTTCCTCGATGAGGATGAATAGTTTCCAGGCCTTGACGACATCCACATAAAGTTACACATAAAGAATATAATATGATACTCACGCGAGCTTGCGATAGGAAGCAATGCATCGCCTGGGTGACATCGGCGGCATGTATTGCGTTGTGATAGGGGTTCGTTGAGTGGTAGCCTTCCTCGATGAGGATGAATAGTTTCCAGGCCTTGACGACATCCACATAAAGTTACACATAAAGAATATAATATGATACTCACGCGAGCTTGCGATAGGAAGCAATGCATCGCCTGGGTGACATCGGCGGCATGTATTGCGTTGTGATAGGGGTTCGTTGAGTGGTAGCCTTCCTCGATGAGGATGAATAGTTTCCAGGCCTTGACGACATCCACATAAAGTTACACATAAAGAATATAATATGATACTCACGCGAGCTTGCGATAGGAAGCAATGCATCGCCTGGGTGACATCGGCGGCATGTATTGCGTTGTGATAGGGGTTCGTTGAGTGGTAGCCTTCCTCGATGAGGATGAATAGTTTCCAGGCCTTGACGACATCCACATAAAGTTACACATAAAGAATATAATATGATACTCACGCGAGCTTGCGATAGGAAGCAATGCATCGCCTGGGTGACATCGGCGGCATGTATTGCGTTGTGATAGGGGTTCGTTGAGTGGTAGCCTTCCTCGATGAGGATGAATAGTTTCCAGGCCTTGACGACATCCACATAAAGTTACACATAAAGAATATAATATGATACTCACGCGAGCTTGCGATAGGAAGCAATGCATCGCCTGGGTGACATCGGCGGCATGTATTGCGTTGTGATAGGGGTTCGTTGAGTGGTAGCCTTCCTCGATGAGGATGAATAGTTTCCAGGCCTTGACGACATCCACATAAAGTTACACATAAAGAATATAATATGATACTCACGCGAGCTTGCGATAGGAAGCAATGCATCGCCTGGGTGACATCGGCGGCATGTATTGCGTTGTGATAGGGGTTCGTTGAGTGGTAGCCTTCCTCGATGAGGATGAATAGTTTCCAGGCCTTGACGACATCCACATAAAGTTACACATAAAGAATATAATATGATACTCACGCGAGCTTGCGATAGGAAGCAATGCATCGCCTGGGTGACATCGGCGGCATGTATTGCGTTGTGATAGGGGTTCGTTGAGTGGTAGCCTTCCTCGATGAGGATGAATAGTTTCCAGGCCTTGACGACATCCACATAAAGTTACACATAAAGAATATAATATGATACTCACGCGAGCTTGCGATAGGAAGCAATGCATCGCCTGGGTGACATCGGCGGCATGTATTGCGTTGTGATAGGGGTTCGTTGAGTGGTAGCCTTCCTCGATGAGGATGAATAGTTTCCAGGCCTTGACGACATCCACATAAAGTTACACATAAAGAATATAATATGATACTCACGCGAGCTTGCGATAGGAAGCAATGCATCGCCTGGGTGACATCGGCGGCATGTATTGCGTTATGATAGGGGTTTGTTGAGTGGTAGCCTTCCTCGATGAGGCTGAATAGTTTCCAGGCCTTGACGGCGTCCAGCTTGAAGTGAGACAGCAGGCCGTACACGTGGAACAGGTGTACGCACAGCACTGGTAGGCAGCGGCCTGTGGACAATGAGAATACGACTTTATTATTAAAGGTCACAAAACCTTAATGGACATTTAGGCTGGGTTGCACCAACTTACATTAACTTAAAAATCTGTCAAACTCCATACAAAAATCTCCGGTTATCGTCAAAGTTAGATGGTGCAACTCAGCCTTAAAGAGATAACATCAAGTTTCCACCGCGTGGTGGACTGTATAGATGCTACCGTAGCAGCTGTGCAGTCAGCATCTGCCTATTGCAAGACTGCCAGTTGAAACAAAACCAGTAAATCAGTATACAGAAGTTAGCTAAATAACAACTAAGGCTGGGTTGCACCATCTTACTCTAACTTTGACAAACGTCAAAAATCTGTCATACTCCATACAAAAAGCACCGGTTATCGTCATAGTTACCCTTAAAGTTAGTTGGTGCAACTTGGCCTATGGCCTAAGTAAGTAGTCTTATTCGGGTACGAAAATAGCATATTTTCAATTTTAATATTCATTTGTTATTACGTATCATTAATAGTAATTAAAGTTTACGGTTTCGCATTATATTTTTATATTCCACAAGTTCCAATTAGTAAAGCCATCGAGTCTCCCGTCATGCCCCATTTAATATTAAAGTGGACAAATTGAATTACTATCAGCACAACCGCCGCGATACAATTATCTTTAATATGAGCATAATTATGTATTAATTAACCGCCAAATGAGTACAATAACGTTCACTTAAAACAGTAATAGGTGTTAAAGCGCAACAAAATGGTTCTGATTTCGAGGAATATACAAAGTTCGATTTATGTATTACTAGCTTTCCGCCCGCGGCTTCGCCCGCGTGTAATTTTGTCTGTCACAGAAAAACTTTATCGCGCGCGTCCCTCATTCAAAAACCGGGATAAAAACTATCTCTAAGCCAAATTTCATTAAAATCGGTTCAGTGGTTTAGGCGTGAAAGCAAGACAGACAGACAAGAGTTACTTTCGCATTTATGGTATTAGTAAAGAGTATAGTTTAGATAGAGTAGGTAGGTATAGATATTAATTCTGATAGATACGTATTTGGAATTCGTGAACTTAAATCTAAATCATTTTATTTTAGTGCTACTTTACTTGACTTAAGTTCGTGAAATCTGTGAGTGTAGATTAGAATGAGTATCTCAAAAATAAAAGTTTTCAAAGACTGTTTTCCTTAAGGGGCCTGGCTCCAGGCTTAATGATACAAGTACAACCAATGATATTAACTTACTTAATTAATTTTTAAGAGTGGTTGACGAATTTCATGTTAAATAACGTCTTAGCTTCCCTAATTTTATATTTTGTACAACCTATTTTTCCGACAATTTCCTTAACTTGGTAAGAAAACTATGGATTAATTTTTGTCATCAGATTACCGACGTTTCAACAATTCCGTGAGGACACTTATGTACGAGTAAGTAACCGTTACAATACCAACGAAGTTTCAAGCAGCACATTTTCCGCTAGGCAAATGTTGTGATAGGGATAGAGACATGCAATTTTTGGTTTTACAAAGGTAATACGATAGAAAATAATACAAAACAATAAAAACCACCTGTTATAGGGGCATTTTTTGGAGAAATTTATCAAATAACCAAAAAAACACGAATTTTTAAGCAGATTTTTTTCAAAAAGTATCATTTTTTATTATTTGTTGGCATTTTTTGTATATTTTATGTATTTTTTTAGTATCGCCTGTTATTTAGTATTATTACTGTTTTTATTTTATCAGGATATACCGCTTAGTTTAAAAGTTATTACGTTTTCTTTATAATAAGTAATTGGAAGAAAAAAAATTCTATAAAAAAATCTCAAAAAATCTCAAAAAATTTTTGACCTCTTTTTTGTCGATAAAAATAGGTCTAGTTTCATCTATTTTCATATGTACACTTTAACGTGACTCACACTGTATTTTCCAGCAAAGTTAATCAAGCAATTCAGTATTTTCTCAAAGTATTTAACTCGGTGGTAAGCCGAGAAAATAATAAGGAGTTTGAAATAACTATTAAATGAAAAACTTAACGGACGATGCTATGAAAACTTTGTAAGGAAGGTAATACAAGAGATGGTGAGCAATAAGATCTATTTCCCACAAAAATTTTATTGTTATAATGGTTTTAGGGGATAATTGGTTTAAGGCAGAAAATGTCTCTCGCTGTGTATAGGTAGGTAAGTCACAATAATGTAGAATGACCAAATCAGAATTTCATGTTAGGGAAGACACGTCAAAATCTATGAGCCCGCAGGTATACTATTTTTATTTTAATATGAATTGTTAGAGCAAGTAGACTGAATGTTCATAAGTAGGAAACTGCTCGAATCACTCCCGACTCCCTACAATTGGGGAATCATCAATCTTGGTTGTAGAAGTACGAAATATTTGATATCATTACTTAAAGTTATGCACCGTAGTAATGACACACTTAACTTTCTTAAGACTCAGTGCTTAAGTTTAATATCTTCTCTAGCGAAACTAGCCAAGTTTGTAATAGCGAGTGTGCATATAGACTGAGCCATAATTTCGCGACATTAGGCCTATCCTGTTCTAGAATTCCGAAATTTCAGTGGTGTCTCTTTCGCTCATTAGATAATCATGGGATGTGTGAGAGAGATGGGTGTAGATAGTATACTTGCACCGTATTGGAGGGTAGAGGATTCTGAGCGGATAATTATTCCCGTGAGCTTAGCGGAGCAACTAAAATAGAACTTATTAACGCGACTTAGCACCTAAATGTACCTACTTCGTCTCAGGCTCTCGGGGCACATCGATTTACTTCGAGACATTTTGGCGGTAACGAAGCATGTTGGTAAGTGCTCTATTTCGAATTTGAGGTGAGTGTTCTATTTCAAAATTCAAATTATTATATTAATTAGGTGTAAGTGTGGGCGGCGTTCACTTGGTTCTCTTATTACTCTCTTATACAGGGTGGAAACGATAAGTGATCTCACTCGATTATTTCTGAACTATACAAGATATCAGTAAACTAGTTACTGATCCTAAAAGTGCTTCATGAGCTCTATCAAACGGTATTAATAATAGGTTACAGAATAAACTGGATCCATCCGAAAATTCAATGTTTCCTCTTGTATAGATTAGAAATAATCGAGTGAGATCCCTTAACGTTTCCACCCTGTATGTATACCCGTTACTGAATAATAACAATACAGCTAATTCCTATTATTCTGGTATTGACCAATTTGTAGCCCAATGGCCAGAAACACACGGCGAAATCTTTCACATTTGGAGCACTTTAACTAAAACTAAAGTGGTAACTACTACTTAAGTAAAAACATTTTAGATTTGTCGATCGTATTTATTAACTCTGAAACTTTATACAACAAACTATAGCCACATTTTAACGAATTTTTGTTTGAATAAGTGAATAAAATTTTCAAGAAACAATGAAAAATATATGTGCTAGTGTGTGTAGATAACAAAATAATCAACGAATTCTCACGGTAACCTCTACTAGATTTATAAAAATAGACCACAAGAAATAGACAGAGAATAGAAACCAAACAAAACACTTCAAGACTTCTAGAACATACGGCATATAGGTTAATTTGAAACTGAAATTCTAATTCCACGTTTTGCTCATGCATTCAGTACGGGACCTGCCGTTGAAGCTAGATGGCTATCACATACATACTCAATGGTAAACTATTGAGAAGGCAAATTTTATGGGTCGACGAATACTTACTCAACGTACAATATGAATTTGAAATCATAAAACTGTTTAAGTAGATATTTCAAATCATTGTTTACTGTTTATGGTAAATCAAACCAAATTTATTAGGTCACCGAATCATGCGAACATGTAAACATAGAATTCCCATAAATAAATATTTTATTTCTAGCTACTGTTTACTGCGAGTGTTAAATCAAACGTGAATTTATTGGGTCAGCCAGTCATGATCATATAAAACTGAAATCTATAAATATTTTGTTTTATTTTCAGTTTTTGTTTACTGTTTATGGTATAAAAAGGATTGGGTCAAAGAATAATCCATTATCAAAATGCAATGAATAGCTGTTATTTCTCTATTCTGCTGCTGCAGTTGTCCGTTTAAAAAGGTCTTGAAGCTGGCATGTTACGAGATCTCTAATTTTAACTGTTGGGTCGACCTCGACTATCAATAAAAACTTCAATAATTTATTGTGACTTACATGCTTTTTTGTTTGTTTAAGGCCCGATTCGGCCAAACTTTTATCCGAGAATACCTCCTGGTATAACTGGCACATGGACAGTTTCAGCGTGGGAAATATGTCAAAATTTCAATTATTCTGAGATTAATATTTACTCTTGTTTGGTCGAATCCGCCTTAAGTGGTCAACAAGACATGTGTTCCTTATGTGGGAGGATATCGCGTAATGGCAGACATTTCTCAGCGGTTAAACTGATCAATCGCATGAATCTGTGCGTGTTCTAAAGCTCCAATTATAGCTACATTGTTGTGATATGATGTGTTGTTAATAAGCTTTTGTACCTAAACTAACCGCACCAAGTCATTGTTGATTGTTTACAGCGAAATCAACGCGCTATTCGGTCGCGATTTGCAAACAGAAATTGTAGTGCGAATCTAAAATACACTGTTTTGCTAAATTCTGACCGGTTTATGAGTAAATTATACAAGAATCCTACTTTAAGCTATTTCGTCAACTAACGGAGTATGAATACTATTCATTTATACTAAATCCTCTTTCCTTTGCGAAACAATTTTCAGTCGAATAACCCTTAATGTACTTTATTAAATAGATACTAATTTGATAAGCTACTTTGTGAAATCACACAATGATATTAACATTATTCCACTGAAATAAACCTACAGTCAAAAAGTACATTAGTATAATGATGGAACAATAGTGTATTTAGTCAATTTTAACAATTTAATCAGATGAATGATTTATTGCACATTATTATGATGGTAGGAAAGTGTGCATAACCGCTGCATTACTAAGTCTTCGTTCACCAAATGCAGATAATTGCGGTAAATTAGCAATA